TGGTTCTGTAGGTAACGAACACTTCGGCTGGTTCTGTAGTTAACGAAAACTTCGGCTGGTTCTGTAGGTAACGAACACTTCGGCTGCTTCTGTAGGTAACGAACACTTAGGCTGGTTCTGTAGGTAACGAACACTTCGGCTGGTTCTTTAGGTAATGAACGCTTCGGCTGGTTCTTTAGGTAAAACAAACACTTTGGCTGGTTCTGTAGGTAACGAACGCTTCGGCTGGTTCTGTAGGTAACGAACACTTCGGCTGGTTCTGTAGGTAACGAACACTTCGGCTGGTTCTGTAGGTAAAACAAACACTTCGGCTGTTTCTGTCGTGGACACAGCTGAAGTCAACACAAATGCAGCTACAGATTATTTATTTAAAGACACATTTTATTCAGTAGAAGTTTTTCTAACGTCACGTCATTTAGTTTTATTTAGTTATTTTTGGAGAGGTCTTCATAAAACTTTATTTATAAAAAGCTGCACCGTTGTCCAAAGTGCTGTGCACACACAAAAGAATACGTCATTAAAAGTTTAACAAGTTTCAAGACAGGAAATGAACTCTGATCCAGACAACAGCACTTCCTGTCGGCACAGATTTCCAAAATAAACTACATTAGAAGATGTTTTTTCAGGTGAGCTTCAGGTGTGAGAGCTTCCTGCTTCAGAAACCAGTTTCGGTCCTGCAGGTCCGCTGGGGTCCATCAGGGGGCGCTGCAGCTGCACCCACACCAGGACTTCCCTCAGCAGAACCAGCTGGAGTCAGACTCTTCAGCTGCTGCTCTGAGATGATTTTATTTATTTAGTTTTCTGCAGAAACTGATTGTTTCAGCTGGAGGCTGAAACCAAACACCTGACGGGTCCAGTCCTGACCTTTAGAGTCCCGCCGCTCACAAACTGAAGCCGACATGAAATGACTCGTTCTGCTTCCTGCAAAATGTCAATTTATTCACAAATATACAAACATCATGTTAAAACACACGAGCATCAAGAAACTGTTGCTGAACCTTCGGCTGCAGAAGAAACAGCTGCAAGAACATAAGGGTTTCAGCTCTCTAACATCTGCACAAACAAACAAACAAACAATCTAACCCTCAGACGGAGGAAGTCACTCTATTCATGAATTAATTCTGTAAAGAAATGCTTCAAATTAAACACAGCGTTAATTTAATAAAAATTCATAAAAAGCATAAATTAAAAAACATTTAGTTTCTGAAGGAATCTTTAAAATGGGATTGAGTTCAAAACACTTCTGAAAAGTTATTAAAAAAAGCAAATAAATTTAACTTCTAAAAAAACAAAGTTTGCATTTCAATCTAATCTCTATCAGCACCAGACTCTTATTTTGAAGAATCTATATGAGCTTTATTTTGAAAGTGGATTAACATCTTTTTCTGTTTGATCTTTGGGCTTTTTGGATTTTTAATACTGACTTCGTTCATAAATTCTCCCAAAGTTCTGATCAGGAGAAATGGTTCAAACTCTACAGGATCTTTGGGGGCGGCCATGTTGGAAAAATATTTAAAGAAAATTCACAGACTCAGAATCTGCTGAGTCGCTGGTTGCCATGGTGATTCCTTCCTTTTTTGAAACGCAGGGGGAGGGGCAACAGGGGGACAGAAACAGCTGGAAACGTTCCTAACAGGCTTTCAATCTTTGACCGAAGACAGATAGCTTGAAAATAAAAAATAAAAACTCGCACATGTGATGCCGACATTCCGCAGGGGAGGGGGGACACGAGGGCGGTGAGTGTGTCCAAGGACACTCAGAGGCACTGTATTTTATGTAAAATCTACCAAAATAAAAGCTCATGTGAAGCCTTAACGATCGATGGCGTCCACCTGGGAAAAAAAAAAGAGAAAAGAATCAAACTAAGCTAAAGCTAGCAGCTAAAGCTAGCAGGCTAAAGCTAGAAGCAAACCTCGCTGCAGTTCAATAATTTCCTGACAAACCTCCTAAATATTATCTGTCAGACTTCATGTGGTTCTGAAGTAAAACTCAGAGGTTCACCTGGTGGTGAAGACTGACAGTTCTGATGGTCTTAACAAACCCAAACCTTCGGCTGTTTGTGAGAACTGTTGCTCAGCGGCTGATTTCTGAGCTGAGCTGCAGAATTTGAGCCGACGTGGCTGAAAAAAGCTTTTTACTCTTCCTGCTGAGTCACTTTTTCTGCTCCTCTGTTTTATTTCTTGTTTTATTTTATTTGTCCGTCTCTGCCAACAGGCTGTGGCACACGTGCACGTCTCGTGCGCGTGCAGGCAACGGTTGAGGGAGTTTAGCCGACGTGCAGCTGCACAGCAGGAAGTTATTAACCACAGGATTAGCTTCTGACTGACGATGGAAAACACAAAAACAAAGGATTCTGAAAAATGTGCCTTTTAAGAAATGAAGAGAATTATTTCAACGCGACGGCTCGAAAAGACTTTATTATATTTCATCAAATTATTATATTTCATCAAATTATTATATTTCATCAAATTATTATATTTCATCAAATTATTATATTTCATCAAATTATTATATTTCATCAAATTATTATATTTCATTAAATTATTATATTTCATCAAATTATTATATTTCATTAAATTATTATATTTCATCAAATTATTATATTTCATCAAA